CCTCCCTCCCTCTCTTCCTTCCTTCCTTCCTTCTTTCCTTCCTTCCTTCCTTCCTTCCTTCCTTCCTTCCTTCCATTTTGTTTTCAACATAAAAATATGTTAACTGTCTGATTCCGCTATTATGGAGAGCACTTGTTTGTTCAGCTAAAAAGGAACCCCCGCCAGGCCCCCTTGGCTCCACTCGGTTTCGGGTTTGTGCCACAGTGGCTCAGAGGTCCACCAAGCGTGCACACCCATTCACTGTGGGTACACAGACAGAAGCAAGCGGATGTTGTCTGCTTAGGGGACGAGAAGAGGGCGAGGAGGGAAGGAAGGGCCGGGAAAGGTGTTGGTTCTGTGGGGAGAAGGGAGACTTGGGGAATTTTTTTATTTTTTATTTTTTGTTGTTTTCTTTTTTTTGTCTTTTTTTTTTTTTATTATTTTTTTTTTTGTCGTTGTTTTTTGCTATACCATGAGGTCATAGCAATCATTCCTCTAATAGAAACTGACAGGACATAAAGACAGAACTACCTGATGAACACACACAATGACTAGAAATAGAGAGAGAGAGAGACAGTGAAAAGACTTAGTTTACCTCTGAGAAACCATCCCCCAAAAATAAATCCTTATTAACAAGTGCAAAAAACCAACAAGGAAACCCAAACCAAAACGAAAGCAAATAAAACCTCCAAACATTAAAACACAGTGTATAAAATGGTGTGAGAAATTGAAAGTCACTCTCCAGCCTTTTAGTCAAGAAAAAGCTGTGGTTGTGTCCTTGTTTGGATTCAGGCCCATCTTTTTGAATTTTACCCTAGAGGCCTTTGCAAGAAGTAATCCGAGGGTAAAAGCACCCAGTGTCGGTTACGTTGGGCAGCAGTTGCCTTCTTCACGGTGGGCCAGCTGCCGCTCCGGCGACCCTTCGGCCTTTCCTTACTCCTCGTTGGTGGTGTTTTCTTCCAGCGGGTTGACGCCTCCCCAGCCTAGTCCCGTTGTGTTCTGTGCGGCAGAGGAGGCTGTGAGCACTGTGTGCAGGAGAATCAGTACAAGCACACACAGTCTGAGTCTGCTGTTGCACAGTCTGGTTGCTGATGACACTGTGAGCGACGTCCTGTGACAGGAGTCACTTTTCTCCACCGTCCCTTTGGATGGGCTATTTGCTGGTTCTTCCCGCCTGACGTCACAGCATTCTGGTTCATCGTGGGTTAGAAAGGTTTCATAAAGCCCTGTGGGAAGAAGACCGCAAAGGGTTAGAAGGAAGGAAACACACCCGGGGGAGGAGCTCATAGCAGAATGAAGCTGTCACTTTAGCGTTCTGATGCACAAACTCTTACAAGCAGTTAAACATACTTCAAAGGAAAGTCAGGTCCACCCAGTTGGGACAAATAGCCAACCACGGTCTCAACCCAGTACCGTTAAGTGTCTTCAGATGGTTATTTTTTATTCCCGCCAGTCTTATCCCGAGGGTTCTTGGTGGTTGTGATTACAGAATAAAAGATTTCATTAGGTCAAAATCAGAACTTCAGGTTCTGGATCAACTTGGAGACCAAGTATATCCAGCCATTCTCTTTTCTTTAACAGGAATGTGATTAATTGATGCAATATATAAACAAACACGAACTAGTTATGCTAAGTGACATGGGCAACCAATCATAATGTCATATCTATAGGAATCACGTTTCTTATCATTTTCTCTCATAAGTTTTATATCCTCCTATCTGGATTAATAGGGAAAATCATCTATGCATCCAATGATCAGGTCACTTTAATTTATTTGCTGAATGTTTCTCTTATTTTTCTCCATTGACCTGCTACAGATGACTGCCCAAATTGAGGCCCTTACTGTCTTTTGCTTGGACCATCACAGTAGGATTCTCTCTGCTTTTAGTTTTCTTCTCTTCCAATCTATTCTACAACTTTTGCCTTTCAATAATGGTCTGTCTCTCTTTCTCTCTTGCTCTGTCTTGTCTTTGATCCTTGCTGAATCCCTTCTTTTTTCTTTTATCCTCTGATAATACACACCGTGCATATTTTAAATAGATAAATGCGTATTTTAAAACTGTTGCAGTGACTAAAGAAACTGTATATCTATCATCTTTCCAATCTTGTCCCTTGTTATGTTTTATATAATATTTTAATGTAGCTGTGTAAGCCATTGTGTTTTTTTTTTTTTTTTTTTCATTTGACTGAAACATTTTCTCATGGGTATTGGAGTGCTTTCTACATAAATTTTGTCATATTAATCTCATGCTTGAAAAACTAAAAATGGGGCTAGTAATAGAGTTGGTGTAAGAATTAAATGAGATTTTTTAGGGGTTTTTTTCATGTAAAGTGCTTGGCTCAGTGCCTAGCACTTAGAAATAACTTCAAAAATCTGGCTACTGTGAATAATAATAATCATCAGTGGTCTCTCATTGTTTCTACTTATATGATAAAATCTAAAGTCTTTCCTCTCTCTATAGACTCATTGCTCAGTGCTCCAGCAATCCTGAACCACAGGCACTTCCCATATGATCAAGTCCGTGTCACTAACCAAGCTAATCTTTCTTCCTAAACTTTCTTTCATCAACTCATCTGCATAATTCTCACTTGTCCTTCAAGTTCAGCTCAAATGAAACTCACTGTGAAGCCCTGGGCAATGAGTGCATTTTGTTTATCTCTTCAATAGAGGAATGATTATTATTTTCTTTGATCACAATCTCCCACTTATATGTCAATTTCCTAATTCATCAGTCAACTTAAAAACATAAACTACACATTTTCAGCATTGCATCCATGATATACAGTGGAATGCCTGAACAAAATACTTAATGAGCATTTATTACATGAATAAACTCAGCATATTTGTTTAATTAAAAAGAATCTCTCAAATAATATACTCTTCCATCTTCTGTTTCTTTTAAACAAATGACCAAGATATCCTTATAATGATGCTTACAATATTCATTTCTTCTTAGGCATTCAAAGGTAAACTTCACCTTCGCCTAGGTAGAATATGAAAAAAAAAAAAAAACTGAATTAATGAGGTCTTCAGCTCTGGCATTTTTATTGTATGATTTTTTTTCATATAAGATACTTCACTGGCAAGCTAATCATTTATTGATGTATATGTTTCCAATACCATAGTCTACAACAAAAAGTTTTATGCTAAGATTATAAAAATAGAACTCTAAAGTTAATTTTAGATTAAATTTTAGAATGTTAATCAGAATATGTATAACAATGTTATCTAAATAATAAATTCTCTCAAAGCTGTTCAGCAACTGGCTTGCTGATTTATAACAAGTCATTGCAGAAAAAAATAGAGACAGTTCATTCAGGTCAATAAATGAACACTTCTTGTTGCCTATTAATATTCTTTCTTTTTCTCCTGCCCACCTTTTTTTTTTTAGCAATGTTATGCAGATTTATGAATAACATGCACATATATTAAAGATAAAGTAATAGTGTATTTCACAAAATAAGGAAAAAATTCTCCACTTCCCCCATCTCAAATTCCTTCTTCTCAAAGGCAAATATTGGCACCTCTTTTAGCTGTTATGGTATTTGGCATCATTTTCGAAAAGAACCATGTTTTATGCTCTTTTTGATTTCTCATTTTTAGCATTATTGTTAGATTCCCCTCAGGAAATGTAGGACTAAATTATTCATTCTCCTCCTCTTTCCAGAAAATATACTTCCCACTGAACTATCGTCCATCCCTTCACAAATAATAAGTTCGATATTTCGCTTTTCCTTTCCAGTATTAGGATGACATAGATACAACTCATAGTTCAACCACAGAGTAAGCTGCTTTTTCCTTCATGTACTACATTTTTTCTCTTCCTTCTTTCTTTCCTTCTTTCCTTCCTTCCTTCCTTCCCTTTTCTTTCGAGACAGAGTCTCACTCTGGAGTGTAGTGGCACAATCATGGCTTTCACTTCAGCCTTTAATTCCTGGGCTCAAGTGAGCCTCTCACCTCAGCCTCCTGAGTAGCTGAGTCTATAGGCATGTACCACCACCAAGTCTGGCTAATATATATATATTTTTTTCTTTTGGTAGTGATGAAGTCTTGCTATGTTGCCCTGGTTGGTCTCCAACTCCTGCATTCTAAGCAGTCTTCCTGTCTTGGCCTCCCAAGGTGTTCAGATTACAGGCATGAGCCCCCATGCCAGGCGGTGTGTGAAGTTCTAATATATAAGCTGTCATTCGCCAGATTTGTTCAAGCATCGCTCCCGCATTTGGTTGTCGGACTTATGGAACCTGTCCATTACTTTCTGTGTGTGTGTGGCTTATTTCTCCTGTTTCATACCACTTCATCCCTTTACTCTGTTTTCTGAAGCATTTGGTGAGTTTCCTTCTGTACTGATTTTACTGAATTTTGCTTTTTTCCTTATGATTATTCTTTCATGTCATCTGAACATTGCTTTTTTGAAGTGACTATTCTCATTTTATAATTACTACACACACACACACACACACACACACACACACACACACACACACACACAGTGCCAAAAAATTCATACACATTTTATGAAAGGAAAAAACTGTATCAAAATAGTAATAATCGATATAGACCTACAATAAAAGATGCATACTAGTCACATTTGACTTCTGCAATTACAAGAGGGCTCAAAGTGACTGCCATCAGCGTCCAGACACTTCTGATGATGGCAAACTAAAAGTAATATGCAGAGAACATCTCTTAAAATGTGTATACATTTTTGGCACCCCCTGTGTGTGTATGTGTGGGTGTGTGTATTTTTTACTGCTCTGAGATATTTGGGATACTTTTATTTACTGTGTTCCATTCCCTCTTTGAATGGGCTCTCTTTGTTCTGTGTTACTTTTTTCACATGGGAGGGAAGGCTGTGCATTCTGAATTGTCTGCATATATTATAAAAGCACTGGAGGTCTGGACACCTAGCTAGGGGCGTCCTGTAGGATGGCATACCTGAGCTATTTAGGTGGATAACCTTTTAAAATGTGGTCTTTCAGGTTCATCAGATTCCCCAGCAAAGTCTATTCCAATATCTGTCCAGGACAGGATATGCCAGGCTGCGAGTTTTCTGAGAGCAGATGGGAGGAGGACGACCAGCCTGGGGACATCTCAGTGTCAGCGCAGAGACTCTGGTTGAATCAGTTCGAGGTGGGTCTCCTGCCTTAACTCTGCCTGGTGTTGTTGTAGAGTCTGACAACCCTTTCTTCATCATCTCCAAAAAATATTGTTCTCTTTTTGTAGGGTAAATGCAGAACATCTGCACCGTTCCCCTGCCCGACTAATAACTGTCTTATGACGGGAAGGATGGCCCCTGGCTAAGGTCACCCTGTAAGACACCCATATCTGTAAACTCGAGACAGTTTCTGAGAGAAACCATCTTTGTTTCTTCTTGCCATGCCATGCGTGCTCTCCGTCCCATGCTGGGGATGTATAATCTTTCCCCACGCCTATTGGATTACACTGACTGGCCACCATCAGTTGTCTCCTATAAGTAATAACATACCCATGTCTTTTGCAAACTGTCCTCTGGTTAATTTCTTTGGAATAGGTCAATGTTACACCAGCACCCTTTCTGATTTGGGGCTGCTGTGATACACTTCTGCAAGAAAGGTGCCACCAGTCTCTAGAGTAGGGACAGGGACTGGGACTTGGGAATCTGAGGGCTTCTGAAACAGACTTCCACCCAGTTCCTTGTTTGGCCTTTTCCTCCCCGGTGTCTCCTGCTGTCAATCTCTGTGCCTGGAGAGAGACTTGGGTGTAAATCTGGTTGACTCTCTGTTTCCTCTCTGCTGTTTCAATATTCTTTTTTCTAGGTTTCAGCAAATCTTTAGCATGCATCAACTTTCTTTCCAGTTCCTAAGAGGTTTTGGTTGTTGTCTCCTTATCCATTCTTCTGTCCTTTTGAATTTATGCCTTAAAACAATGTCTTTTCTGCTGGGACCACCTAGAAAACTTTACTGCCCCCTGCCTTTTTTTTTTAGAAGCATCATTCTATCTGTCCTGAGCTTTGATAGATGCCTGTTTCTCTGTCAGATCCACTTCTGAATAAACAAGGACATACAAATTTCCAAGGTCATTATAATTATTATTAGTATTGCCTTATGTACAGAAAAAAAGTTTTTTCACCCTGAGGCCCCTTAGGATCTGTGGACACTCACTCTTCCAGCTGAGAGTGTTGCCTGCCGATGGCTTTCACCCGAATGCCTCCCAGACATGACCCTTGACTGAAGACAGCAGCCTTTC